TTTTGGCCGCCTTGGGGACATCTTGGGCGCCTGGGAGCGATCACGGGGCGATGTGAGGCCCTGGTGGACCATCTGGGCGGATTCCCGGGTCTTTTTTGGCCCTGTTGGGGGCCCTCCTGGCTTCCAGGAGACTCATGCATCATATCCGGTAGCTCTCGGGATCTCCCGGACAATCCCGGGAGCGCACGGGAAACCAGGGGTCCGGGTCCTTAAGAACCATACGAACCCTCTACCTCTCCGGGCACACTCCATTTCGTGCCAGAGGCACGGTGGCGGATCTTGGTTGATAGGAATGTAGGCGGCACATGTTCTGTCTTGGTGCATGCCCCCCCGCTACGGCGTGACGCTCTCCCTCTCTCTCTCTCTCTTTTCCTCTGAGATACCGTTGGGCATTCGTGCTTCATATAAGTGGCCGCTTGAGCCGCAGGTGATTTCCGCGCAGCGCCCTGTCCCCTCCTCGTCCTCACCCTCGTTCCTTCTTCACGGCCCGACGATTTTCCTGGGCATTTCCGTCACATCAGCACTTGGCGACGGCATTTTGAGGCCCATCGATTTCAGACGGCAGGCTCATTTTGGTGAGTTCTTGTCGGGGAGCGCTTGCGTTGAAAAAACAAAGAAATACGCAATCTGTGCCACCCTCTCCCGCCTGCCCACCTCTTCTTGCTCTCTTATTTCTTCTTGACCTCGTATCTCTTCCCTTTCCCCTCGGCTCTCTACCTTGTCCTTGCCCAGCATGTCCTGTCTGATTGCTTGCGCAACTCACCTGGTTTGCAGGTTGGTTTCGCTCTCTGCCCTATGCCCCCAGCGGGAAGCGCCTGTGTTGGGAACATGCCCCGTGCATCTGCTTAGGCCCCACCCTCCTCACTCAAGCCGTTCTGAACATCACATCCAAAACGAGAGTATCGGCGCAACCATTCGCGGCTCAGATGCAACTTGCGTGCAGACTTACATATTGTGCACGTCTTGCGGGCGTACGGTTGACAAAACAAACCTTTGTTCTGGGGGGCATCTGTGTACCCTGCGTGTTGTTACGGTATGCTAGCTTACATCTGATCTGAGCACAGTCTGCACACGCACACCGCTATGGATGTGCCATGTGAATAGCCACTTGGGCTCAAGTGCAGCCAAGCGACTCTCTGACCAGTGCGCATTAGGCAGTTGTCCTTGCCTCTCCACTCGTTGCAATGGGCTCTGGTGCATCATCCTCTGCTGTACAATCCGTGAAGGACGCGAGTGCGGAGGAAATCAGTGCGTTTGTGGGAGAGCTGTCCGCTGAGGACAGGGAGAAGTTCCTCGCCGCATTCGAGAGGGAGAAGCTCCGCGCCGCACCCCAGGTCGGCTCCGGCAGCGGCGCGGGCCTGGTCGACGTCTCCTCGCTCACGAAGATCGCCAAGGATGACCTCGGCCTCCTGCCGCAGCCGGCCGCCCCGAAGTTCAAGGGCGCGGTCATCCAGATCTACGTGCGGGACCAGCCCTACGGCGGCGCTGACAAGAGCTCCAACGGCCACCGCTACGACTCCGTTCCGTTTGCCAACGGAATGATCATGGCTGGCATGAGCTGCCAGCTGATCCACTACGTTCACCAGGAGCACGACAAGTTCTTCGAGGTTGCCGCCAAGTTTGACTTCCTCATCGTCCGCTGCAACCCGGGCCAGATCAAGGCCGACGGCGGTGACCAGCAGAAGTTCGATGACGCCATTATGGGCCTGCGCGCGAAGGGCATCCAGGCCTGGCCCTCGCCGACCGTGATGGAGAAGATGGGCGCCAAGGACGCCCTCTGCAAGATCGCCAAGCTCAACATCGGCCTCGAGGACACTCTGGCGTACTACGACGAGGAATCGTTTGCGGCGGGCTTCAAGAAGACCATGGCCTTCCAGCCGCGCGTGATCAAGCAGAACCGCGGCTCCGCGGGCGAGGGCATCTGGATCATCAAGCTGAAGGAGGGCAACTACTGCTCGACGTTCGGAGAGCGCAGCTGCGAGGACGGCGAGGTGCTGGACATGATGGAGGCCAACGACAACCATGCGGAGGAGCACACCGTGGGGGAGTTCATCGAGTTCTGCGTCAATGGCCGCACCGACAAGTCCGGCACGTGGACGTCCCAGGGTGTGGGCAAGTACCTGGAGGGTGGCAAGGAGGCTGGAGGCCAGCTTGTGGACCAGCGCTTCTGCCCCCGCATCGTGGAGGGCGAGCTGCGTTACAACTGCATCGGGGGAGTCCTCGTCGGCATCATCCACAAGAAGCCCAAGGAGGGAGGAATCTCCGCCGTCGGCGGCACGGGCTCCATTTACACCTACTACGGCCCGGACGAGGTCAAGTTCGCAAACCTCACCAAGAAGTTCCTGACGGACGACCTGCCGCTGGTCATGCCCGCGCTGGGCCTCGCAGAGGAGCCCATCCCGCTCTGGTGGACCACTGACTTCATTCTCGCCTCGCCCGAGGGCACGCCCGCTGAGGAGGAGAAGTGGATCGTGGGCGAGTTCAACTGCTCGTGCGTCGGCATCTCCAAGTGCCTCGCGGCGTACTGCAAGGACGACACCCCGGAGGCCAAGTTCACCGACATCACGGGTGAGGACATGGAGGCCGTGAACGACTACGCCAAGAAGCTTGGCGAGGTGGCCCTGAGCATTCTGGACAAGGCGAAGGCTTAGCTGGACCAGGTGACGCAGGTATATGCGCAATACATTGCTCGTGCGTGTGCTTCATTTGACCTGGTGGGTGTGGCGCGGCCGGTTTAGCCGGGCACAACACGTTCCCATTCCTTTGGTGTGGTCGGCACCCGCTCAATAGACCTGCGCTGCAGTTCTGCGGACGTTTGCCGCATCAGAGCCGCGCGCTTGAGGTTGGCCTTTCGGCCTCGAAGTATTCACGTTTTGAAAGCAGTTTTGTCAAACAGGGGCGCAATTGTTTTTTTCTTGAACCTACCGTCGTCCCTGTCCAACTGGGGGACGCCGCCGACGGCATGGATCCTCAAGAAACGGAGCTCGGACAGTGACCTCTGGGCGGAATCAGACTCAGCCTTCGAAAGTCACAATCTCAGTTTGCGGTCGCCGGAGTAATATGTTTGCTTGGTGCCGCCCATCCTTTGCGATCCCATCGAAGTTTGATAGGCGGGGCTGGTTTCTGCTTCGCGGCATCACCGACTCTGACTAGCATGCTCTTGCCTTTGCGAGACGCGGCGGCTACGATCGGGTGCGCTGCCTGGCAGCGCGAGGTGACTGATCTTCCGAAACGGGAGCGCAAGTTGGTCGCATGTTCAATCGAATGGCCTTCGGCACATCCCGCCACTGTGCCTGGTTTGTGGGTCGGAGTCCTCAGGGATGCTTCGCGGGTTCTCTTCGGAGCGCACTTGGGGGCCTCCATGGGGCAGTTTGGGGGCCTCTTGGGATCCTGTGGAGAGCTTCTTGGGAGCCTCTTAGGGGCCTCTTGGGGTTTCCTGTGTGCCTTTTGAGAGCCTCTTGGAGCCTCTTGTGGGAGTCTTGGAGACCTCTTGGAGCCTCCCGAGGGCTCCTCTGGGTCAAGGGCTCGAAATGTCATCTCGGGTCCCCCGTCTGGGCCTTCTCTTGGAGCCGTCTTGGGGGCCTCTTATAGGCCATCTTGGAGGCCTCTTTGGCCGTCTTGGGCCCTCTTTTGTCGTTTAGGGGCCCTCTTGGAGTGCTCTTCGGCTGTCTTGGGGAGATATCCTCTTGGGACGTCTTGGAGCGTCGGGAGGCGGAAAAGGCAAGAACGCCAAGATCATTCACCAACCTGCGGAAATCAGCGACTTTGCCTCTTGGGGCCCTTTTGGGGTTGCTCTTGGTGCCCCCTTGGAGCTTCTTGAAGGCCTTTTTGGCCGCCTTGGGGACTTATTGGGCGCCTGGGAGCGATCTGGTGGACCATCTGGGCGGATTCCCGGGTCTTTTTTGGCCCGGTTTGGGGCCCTCCTGGCTTCCAGGAGACTCATGCAACACATCCGGTAGCTCTCGGGATCTCCCGGACAATCCCGGGAGCGCACGGGAAACCAGGGGTCCAGGTCCTTAAGAACCATACGAACCCTCTACTTCTCCGGGCACACTCCATTTCGTGCCAGAGGCACGGTGGCGGATCTTGGTTGATAGGAATGTAGGCGGCACATGTTCTGTCTTGGTGCATGCCCCCCCGCTACGGCGTGACGCTCTCCATCTCTCTCTCTCTCTCTTTCTCTTTTTTCCTCTGAGATACCATTGGGCATTTGTGCTTCATATAAGTGGCCGCTTGAGCCGCAGGTGATTTCCGCGCAGCGCCCTGTCCCCTCCTCGTCCTCACCCTCGTTCCTTCTTCACGGCCCGACGATTTTCATGGGCATTTCCGTCACAACAGCACTTGGCGACGGCATTTTGAGGCCCATCGATTTCAGACGGCAGGCTCATTTTGGTGAGTTCTTGTCGGGGAGCGCTTGCGTTGAAAAAACAAAGAAATACGCAATCTGTGCCACCCTCTCCCGCCTGCCCACCTCTTCTTGCTCTATTATTTCTTCTTGACCTCGTATCTCTTCCCTTTCCCCTCGGCTCTCTACCTTGTCCTTGCCCAGCATGCCCTGTCTGACTGCTTGCGCAACTTACCTGGTTTGCAGGTTGGTTTCGCTCTCTGCCCTATGCCCCCAGCGGGAAGCGCCTGTGTTGGGAACACGCCCCGTGCATCTGCCTAGGCCCCACCCTCCTCACTCAAGCCGTTCTGAACATCACATCCAAAACGAGAGTATCGGCGCAACCATTCGCGGCTCAGATGCAACTTGCGTGCAGACTTACATATTGTGCACGTCTTGCGGGCGTACGGTTGACAAAACAAACCATTGTTCTGGGGGCATCTGTGTACCTTGCGTGTTGTTACGGTATGCAAGCTTACATCTGATCTGAGCACAGTCTGCACACGCACACCGCTATGGATGTGCCATGTGAATAGCCACTTGGGCTCAAGTGCAGTCAAGCGACTCTCTGACCAGTGCGCATTAGGCAGTTGTCCTTGCCTCTCCACTCGTTGCAATGGGCTCTGGTGCATCATCCTCTGCTGTACAATCCGTGAAGGACGCGAGTGCGGAGGAAATCAGTTCGGTTGTGGGAGAGCTGTCCGCTGAGGACAGGGAGAAGCTCCTCGCCGCACTCGAGAGGGAGAAGCTTCGCGCCGCACCCCAGGTCGGCTCCGGCAGCGGCGCGGGCCTGGTCGACGTCTCCTCGCTCACGAAGATCGCCAAGGATGACCTCGGCCTCCTGCCGCAGCCGGCCGCCCCGAAGTTCAAGGGCGCGGTCATCCAGATCTACGTGCGGGACCAGCCCTACGGCGGCGCTGACAAGAGCTCCAACGGCCACCGCTACGACTCCGTTCCGTTTGCCAACGGAATGATCTTGGCTGGCATGAGCTGCCAGCTGATCCACTACGTTCACCAGGAGCACGACAAGTTCTTCGAGGTTGCCGCCAAGTTTGACTTCCTCATCGTCCGCTGCAACCCGGGCCAGATCAAGGCCGACGGCGGTGACCAGCAGAAGTTCGATGACGCCATTATGGGCCTGCGCGCGAAGGGCATCCAGGCCTGGCCCTCGCCGACCGTGATGGAGAAGATGGGCGCCAAGGACGCCCTCTGCAAGATCGCCAAGCTCAACATCGGCCTCGAGGACACTCTGGCGTACTACGACGAGGAATCGTTTGCGGCGGGCTTCAAGAAGACCATGGCCTTCCAGCCGCGCGTGATCAAGCAGAACCGCGGCTCCGCGGGCGAGGGCATCTGGATCATCAAGCTGAAGGAGGGCAACTACTGCTCGACGTTCGGAGAGCGCAGCTGCGAGGACGGCGAGGTGCTGGACATGATGGAGGCCAACGACAACCATGCGGAGGAGCACACCGTGGGGGAGTTCATCGAGTTCTGCGTCAATGGCCGCACCGACAAGTCCGGCACGTGGACGTCCCAGGGTGTGGGCAAGTACCTGGAGGGTGGCAAGGAGGCTGGAGGCCAGCTTGTGGACCAGCGCTTCTGCCCCCGCATCGTGGAGGGCGAGCTGCGTTACAACTGCATCGGGGGAGTCCTCGTCGGCATCATCCACAAGAAGCCCAAGGAGGGATGAATCTCCGCCGTCGGCGGCACGGGCTCCATTTACACCTACTACGGCCCGGACGAGGTCAAGTTCGCAAACCTCACCAAGAAGTTCCTGACGGACGACCTGCCGCTGGTCATGCCCGCGCTGGGCCTCGCAGAGGAGCCCATCCCGCTCTGGTGGACCACTGACTTCATTCTCGCCTCGCCCGAGGGCACGCCCGCTGAGGAGGAGAAGTGGATCGTGGGCGAGTTCAACTGCTCGTGCGTCGGCATCTCCAAGTGCCTCGCGGCGTACTGCAAGGACGACACCCCAGAGGCCAAGTTCACCGACATCACGGGTGAGGACATGGAGGCCGTGAACGACTACGCCAAGAAGCTTGGCGAGGTGGCCCTGAGCATTCTGGACAAGGCGAAGGCTTAGCTGGACCAGGTGACGCAGGTATATGCGCAATACATTGCTCGTGCGTGTGCTTCATTTGACCTGGTGGGTGTGGCGCGGCCGGTTTAGCCGGGCACAACACGTTCCCATTCCTTTGGTGTGGTCGGCACCCGCTCAATAGACCTGCGCTGCAGTTCTGCGGACGTTTGCCGCATCAGAGCCGCGCGCTTGAGGTTGGCCTTTCGGCCTCGAAGTATTCACGTTTTGAAAGCAGTTTTGTCAAACAGGGGCGCAATTGTTTTTTTCTTGAACCTACCGTCGTCCCTGTCCAACTGGGGGACGCCGCCGACGGCATGGATCCTCAAGAAACGGAGCTCGGACAGTGACCTCTGGGCGGAATCAGACTCAGCCTTCGAAAGTCACAATCTCAGTGTGCGGTCGCCGGAGTAATATGTTTGCTTGGTGCCGCCCATTCTTTGCGATCCCATCGAAGTTTGATGGGCGGGGCTGGTTTCTGCTTCGCGGCATCACCGACTCTGACTAGCATGCTCTTGCCTTTGCGAGACGCGGCGGCTACGATCGGGTGCGCTGCCTGGCAGCGCGAGGTGATTGATCTTCCGAAACGGGAGCGCAAGTTGGTCGCATGTTCAATCGAATGGCCTTCGGCACATCCCGCCACTGTGCCTGGTTTGTGGGTCGGAGTCCTCAGGGATGCTTCGCGGGTTCTCTTCGGAGCGCACTTGGGGGCCTCCATGGGGCAGTTTGGGGGCCTCTTGGGATCCTGTGGAGAGCTTCTTGGGAGCCTCTTAGGGGCCTCTTGGGGTTTCCTGTGTGCCTCTTGAGAGCCTCTTGGAGCCTCTTGTGGGAGTCTTGGAGACCTCTTGGAGCCTCCCGAGGGCTCCTCTGGGTCAAGGGCTCGAAATGGCATCTCGGGTCCCCCGTCTGGGCCTTCTCTTGGAGCCGTCTTGGGGGCCTCTTATAGGCCATCTTGGAGGCCTCTTTGGCCGTCTTGGGCCCTCTTTTGTTGTTTAGGGGCCCTCTTGGAGGGCTCTTCGGCTGTCTTGGGGAGATATCCTCTTGGGCCGTCTTGGAGCGTCGGGAGGCGGAAAAGGCAAGAACGCCAAGATCATTCACCAACCTGCGGAAATCAGCGACTTTGCCTCTTGGGGCCCTTTTGGGGTTGCTCTTGGTGCCCCCTTGGAGCTTCTTGAAGGCCTTTTTGGCCGCCTTGGGGACTTCTTGGGCGCCTGGGAGCGATCTGGTGGACCATCTGGGCGGATTCCCGGGTCTTTTTTGGCCCGGTTTGGGGCCCTCCTGGCTTCCAGGAGACTCATGCAACACATCCGGTAGCTCTCGGGGTCTCCCGGACAATCCCGGGAGCGCACGGGAAACCAGGGGTCCGGGTCCTTAGGAACCATACGAACCCTCTACCTCTCCGGGCGCACTCCATTTCGTGCCAGAGGCACGGTGGCGGATCTTGGTTGATAGGAATGTAGGCGGCACATGTTCTGTCTTGGTGCATGCCCCCCCGCTACGGCGTGACGCTCTCCATCTCTCTCTTTCTCTCTCTCTCTTTCTCTTTTTTCCTCTGGGATACCATTGGGCATTTGTGCTTCATATAAGTGGCCGCTTGAGCCGCAGGTGATTTCCGCGCAGCGCCCTGTCCCCTCCTCGTCCTCACCCTCGTTCCTTCTTCACGGCCCGACGATTTTCATGGGCATTTCCGTCACAACAGCACTTGGCGACGGCATTTTGAGGCCCATCGATTTCAGACGGCAGGCTCATTTTGGTGAGTTCTTGTCGGGGAGCGCTTGCGTTCAAAAAACAAAGAAATACGCAATCTGTGCCACCCTCTCCCGCCTGCCCACCTCTTTTTGCTCTCTTCTTTCTTCTTGACCTCGTATCTCTTCCCTTTCCCCTCGGCTCTCTACCTTGTCCTTGCCCAGCATGCCCTGTCTGACTGCTTGCGCAACTTACCTGGTTTGCAGGTTGGTTTCGCTCTCTGCCCTATGCCCCCAGCGGGAAGCGCCTGTGTTGGGAACATGCCCCGTGCATCTGCCTAGGCCCCACCCTCCTCACTCAAGCCGTTCTGAACATCACATCCAAAACGAGAGTATCGGCGCAACCATTCGCGGCTCAGATGCAACTTGCGTGCAGACTTACATATTGTGCACGTCTTGCGGGCGTACGGTTGACAAAACAAACCTTTGTTCTGGGGGGCATCTGTGTACCCTGCGTGTTGTTACGGTATGCTAGCTTACATCTGATCTGAGCACAGTCTGCACACGCACACCGCTATGGATGTGCCATGTGAATAGCCACTTGGGCTCAAGTGCAGTCAAGCGACTCTCTGACCAGTGCGCATTAGGCAGTTGTCCTTGCCTCTCCACTCGTTGCAATGGGCTCTGGTGCATCATCCTCTGCTGTACAATCCGTGAAGGACGCGAGTGCGGAGGAAATCAGTGCGGTTGTGGGAGAGCTGTCCGCTGAGGACAGGGAGAAGCTCCTCGCCGCACTCGAGAGGGAGAAGCTTCGCGCCGCACCCCAGGTCGGCTCCGGCAGCGGCGCGGGCCTGGTCGACGTCTCCTCGCTCACGAAGATCGCCAAGGATGACCTCGGCCTCCTGCCGCAGCCGGCCGCCCCGAAGTTCAAGGGCGCGGTCATCCAGATCTACGTGCGGGACCAGCCCTACGGCGGCGCTGACAAGAGCTCCAACGGCCACCGCTACGACTCCGTTCCGTTTGCCAACGGCATGATCATGGCTGGCATGAGCTGCCAGCTGATCCACTACGTTCACCAGGAGCACGACAAGTTCTTCGAGGTTGCCGCCAAGTTTGACTTCCTCATCGTCCGCTGCAACCCGGGCCAGATCAAGGCCGACGGCGGTGACCAGCAGAAGTTCGATGACGCCATTATGGGCCTGCGCGCGAAGGGCATCCAGGCCTGGCCCTCGCCGACCGTGATGGAGAAGATGGGCGCCAAGGACGCCCTCTGCAAGATCGCCAAGCTCAACATCGGCCTCGAGGACACTCTGGCGTACTACGACGAGGAATCGTTTGCGGCGGGCTTCAAGAAGACCATGGCCTTCCAGCCGCGCGTGATCAAGCAGAACCGCGGCTCCGCGGGCGAGGGCATCTGGATCATCAAGCTGAAGGAGGGCAACTACTGCTCGACGTTCGGAGAGCGCAGCTGCGAGGACGGCGAGGTGCTGGACATGATGGAGGCCAACGACAACCATGCGGAGGAGCACACCGTGGGGGAGTTCATCGAGTTCTGCGTCAATGGCCGCACCGACAAGTCCGGCACGTGGACGTCCCAGGGTGTGGGCAAGTACCTGGAGGGTGGCAAGGAGGCTGGAGGCCAGCTTGTGGACCAGCGCTTCTGCCCCCGCATCGTGGAGGGCGAGCTGCGTTACAACTGCATCGGGGGAGTCCTCGTCGGCATCATCCACAAGAAGCCCAAGGAGGGAGGAATCTCCGCCGTCGGCGGCACGGGCTCCATTTACACCTACTACGGCCCGGACGAGGTCAAGTTCGCAAACCTCACCAAGAAGTTCCTGACGGACGACCTGCCGCTGGTCATGCCCGCGCTGGGCCTCGCAGAGGAGCCCATCCCGCTCTGGTGGACCACTGACTTCATTCTCGCCTCGCCCGAGGGCACGCCCGCTGAGGAGGAGAAGTGGATCGTGGGCGAGTTCAACTGCTCGTGCGTCGGCATCTCCAAGTGCCTTGCGGCGTACTGCAAGGACGACACCCCGGAGGCCAAGTTCACCGACATCACGGGTGAGGACATGGAGGCCGTGAACGACTACGCCAAGAAGCTTGGCGAGGTGGCCCTGAGCATTCTGGACAAGGCGAAGGCTTAGCTGGACCAGGTGACGCAGGTATATGCGCAATACATTGCTCGTGCGTGTGCTTCATTTGACCTGGTGGGTGTGGCGCGGCCGGTTTAGCCGGGCACAACACGTTCCCATTCCTTTGGTGTGGTCGGCACCCGCTCAATAGACCTGCGCTGCAGTTCTGCGGACGTTTGCCGCATCAGAGCCGCGCGCTTGAGGTTGGCCTTTCAGCCTCGAAGTATTCACGTTTTGAAAGCAGTTTTGTCCAACAGGCGGCACAGTCTCATTTATTTTGGATATGCGGCCATCCCTGTCCAACTGGGGGTCGCCGCCGATGGCAGGGATCTTCAAGAATCGGAGCTCGGACAGTGACTTCGAGGCCCTAGCAGGCGGAGTTTGATTCGGACTCCGAAAGCCACGGTCTGAGTTCGGAGAAGCTGGGGTCGTCTTTTTGGGTCGCCGCCCATCCTCTGAGATCCCATCGGAGTTTGATGGGCGGGTCTGGGTCCTGCTTCACGGTACCGCCGGCTTTGATTAGCATGCCGTTGCTTGTTCAAGACGCGGGTGCCAAGATTTGTTTCGCTGCCTGGCAGCGCGAGGTGGTTGACCCTCCGAGAAACACACGATCTGGGCTGCCCTCTCCCGCCTGCCCACCTCTTGCTCTCTTCATGTTCTTGACCTCGTATCTTTGGTCTTCCCCCTCGGCCCTCTACCCTTCCCTTGCCCAGCATACCCTCTCTGACTGCTTGCGGGGCTTGTCTGGTTTGCAGGTTGGTTTCTCTCCCTCTCCACTGCCCCCGGCGGGAGCCGCCTGTGTTGGGAACATGCCCCGTGCATCTGCCTAGGCCCCGCCCTCCACAGTCGAGCCCGCCTGAACATCTCATCCAAACAGAGAATGTCGGCGCAACCATGCTCGGATCACAAAACAAGTGCGTGTGTGTGTGTGTGTGTTCCAAGGAAGTACCTGCGTACCTTGTGTGCGTGTGTGTGTGTGTGTGTTAATGCGGGATGCAAGCTTACAGTTGGTTTATACACAGTCTGCACGCGCACATCGCTATGGATGTGCCATGTGAACAGCCCCTTTGGTTCAAGTGCAGCCAAGCGACTCCCTGACCAGTTCGCACTGGGCAGGTCGAAGGTCCGGGGTCTGGAGTGTCCGAGGTCTCGTCGCCGTCCATCGTCTGGGCTTGTCTATCGGGTCCGCCGCCTTGTTGCCGCCGTCGCCGCCCAGTCGCCGCCTCGTCTGGGCCCGTCGTCTGGGCTCGCGTGTCGGATCCGCCGCCTTGTTGCCGCCGTCGCCGCCCCGTCGCCGCCTCGTCTGGGCCCGGCGTCTGGGCCCGTTTGTCGGGTCCGCTGCCTCGTTGCGGCCGTAGCCGCCCCGTCATCGCCCTGTCGCCGCCCGAAATTAGCCGCCGCCCCGTTGCACCCCCCCTCTCAAACCCCCCGTTGCAATCCAGTCGATTGCAACACGATCGGTAGCAATACAATCGATAGCAATCCCTACGGCGATTGCATTACATACGTTGCACCACATACGTTTCACCACACATATTGTACCACGCCGGATGCACCACATAGATTGTGCACAATGTAGGTTGCACGACATTGATTGCATCGTATATCTTGCACCGCATAACATGCACGGTACCAGATACTTATGTTGCACCATACAAATTGCACAACACCGATTGCACCATATATATTTATATATTGCACCACGTCTAATGCACCACATTTACTGCAGTACATACATTGCGCATCACATAGATTGCTCCCCCACATATGTAGTGCACTGCAGGTGTTGCGCAACATTGCTTGCACAGCATGTATGGCACACTTGTCCATGTATAAAGATATCCCACTCCACAGGCTGCACCACGAATGTTGCTTTGTACAGTATGCGTGTATACCGTGGGAAAGATAGCACTTCATACATGGCACAACATATATGGCACAACATGTGTTGCACCACGCCGATAACACAACACATCGTGATTCATAATGAGTAGAACACACACAGCTTGGGGTTCCCGCTGGGTAGCATCCTAGTCAAACCCTGGCGATATGATTACCAAGTATGGTAGCAACCACGAATCCACAGCAAACACGTACCTTAAACTTTCCCGTCTGGGCGAACGGGTGCTCTGCCAGCTTTCTAACCTACAGGGGCTCGATCTCAGCGGCCTGGCCTGCCCGCTGCTCCCGTCACGCCTGTTGCACGAAAAGGCGGGGAAGGACGCCGCCTCTGCAGCGGCGGCCCTTTCTGAGACTGGCGGGCACCGGTGGCTCTATTGGGCCCTCGACGATCGCGACTGGGTGTGCATTGGCCGCTGGATGGCGACGCTGAGAGCGGTCCGTGCGACCAATCCGGGCGCGCAGATCTTGTTGCTGGCTTCAAGGCTGGTCCTTTCAGGAAAGTTGTCGCCCGCTGACGTATTGGACTATTGGGCGCCTCCTCTGCTGCAGGGAGAGGGCGGCAAGAGAGCCGAGTCGATCAGGCTGTTGGAGCCCCCTGTCCAGGTGCTGATTGACGGACGATTGGGGCCCAGGATTGTGGAACAGCATTTGGAAAGAGCGCCAGTGGATCACCTTGGCCTTTAAAAGGGGGGGGGTGCTCCAGGGAACCCACCCCTCCCTCCCCCCCTTCAGGGGGGGGGGGTCCGAGAACCCCCCCCCCCTCCCCCCCTTTATGGGGAGGGGGGGGTTCGAACCCCTCCCCCCCCCCCCCTTTGAAAGGGGGGGGGGTCGGAACCCCTCCCCCCCCCCCCTTGAAGGGGGGGGGGGGTCGGAACCCCCCCACCCCCCTCCCCCCCTTTCCGCAGGGGTCCGGGGCGAGCGAGCCGAGCGCGCGGACTGTTGGACGTAGGGGCCGTCGGCGGCCGCCCGCACACCCGCAAAGCTTTCAGAGTCCCGCCGCCGACGGCCCCTGCGTCCAACAGTCTGCGCGCGAGGCGAGCGAGGTTTAGGGTTTAGGGTTAGGGTTAGGGGTTAGGGCTTAGGGTTAGGGTTAGGCATTAGGGTTTAGGGTTAGGGTTGAGGGGTCAGGGTTTAGGGTTCGGGTTAGGGTTTAGGGTTCGGGTTTAGGGTGAGGATTGGGCTTTATGGTTTAGGGGTAGGGTTAAGATTAGGGTTAGGGTTAGGGTTTAGGGTTAGGGTTAGGGTTAAGGTTTAGGGTTGGGGTTAGGGTTAGGGTTTAGGGTTAGGGTTTAGGGTTTAGGGTTGGGTTAGGGTTTAGGGTTAGGGTCAGGGTTAAGGTGTAGGATTAGGGTTAGGGTTAGGGTTTAGGGTTAGGGTTAGGGTTTAGGGTTTAGGGTTTAGGGTTAGGGTTTAGGGATTAGGGTTAGGGTTAGGGTTAGGGTTAGTTCTTAGGGTTTAGGGTTAGGGTTAGCGTTTAGGGTTAGGGTTAGGGCTAGGGCTAGGGTTTAGGGTTACGGTTAGGGTTAAGGGTTAGGGATTAGGGTTAGGGTTAGGGTTAGGGTTAGGGTTTAGGGTTAGGGTTTAGGGTTTAGGGTTAGGGTTAGGGTTTAGGGTTAGGGGTATGGTTTGTGTTGAGGGTTAAGGTTTAGGGTTAGGGTTAGGGTGAGGGTTTAGGGTTAGGGTTCGGGTTCGGGTTTAGGGTTAAGGTTTAGGGTTCAGGGTTTAGGGTTAGGGTTAAGGTTTAGGGTTAGGTCATAGGGTTTAGGGTTAGGGTTAAGGTTTAGGGTTAGGGTTAGGGCTAGAGTTTAGGGTGGTTAGGGCTTAGGGTTAGGGTTAGGCATTAGGGTTTAGGGTTAGGGTTGAGGGGTCAGGGTTTAGGGTTCGGGTTAGGGTTTAGGGTTCGGGTTTAGGGTGAGGATTGGGCTTTATGGTTTAGGGGTAGGGTTAAGATTAGGGTTAGGGTTAGGGTTTAGGGTTAGGGTTAAGGTTTAGGGTTAGGGTTAGGGTTAGGGTTTAGGGTTAGGGTTTAGGGTTTAGGGTTGGGTTAGGGTTTAGGGTTAGGGTCAGGGTTAAGGTGTAGGATTAGGGTTAGGGTTAGGGTTTAGGGTTAGGGTTAGGGTTAGGGTAGGGTTTAGGGTTTAGGGTTAGGGTTTAGGGATTAGGGTTAGGGTTAGGGTTAGGGTTAGTTCTTAGGGTTTAGGGTTAGGGTTAGCGTTTAGGATTAGGGTTAGGGCTAGGGCTAGGGTTCAGGGTTACGGTTAGGGTTCAGGGTTAGGGTTTAGGGTTAGGGTTAGGGTTAGGGTTTAGGGTTAGGGTTTAGGGTTTAGGGTTAGGGTTAGGGTTTAGGGTTAGGGGTATGGTTTGTGTTGAGGGTTAAGGTTTAGGGTTAGGGTGAGGGTTTAGGGTTAGGGTTCGGGTTCGGGTTTAGGGTTAAGGTTTAGGGTTCAGGGTTTAGGGTTAGGGTTAAGGTTTAGGGTTAGGTCATAGGGTTTAGGGTTAGGGTTAAGGTTTAGGGTTAGGGTTAGGGCTAGAGTTTAGGGTTAGGGTTAGGGTTAAGGATTAGGGTGTAGGGGTTAGGGTTAGCGTTAGGGTTAGGGTTTAGGGTCAGGGTTTAGGGTGTAGGGTTTTGGGGGTTAGGGTTTAGGGTTAGGGTTAGGGTTTAGGGTTAGGGTTTAGGGTTTAGGGCTAGGGTTTAGGGTTTAGGGTCAGGGTTGGGGTTGAGGTTAGGGTTTAGGGTTAGGGTTAGGGTTTAGGGTTTAGGGTGAGGGGTAGGGTTGAGGTTAGGGATTAGGGTTGAGGGCTAGGGTTAAGGGTTCAGGTTTAGAGCTTAGGTTAGGGCTAGGCTTAGTGTTAGGGTTTGGGGTCAGGGTTAGGTCTACGGTTAGGGTTTAGGCTTCGGGTTAGGGATTATGGATTAGGGTTCAGGGTTTGGGTTAGAGGTTAGGGCTTCGGGGGGGTCGGGGCGGGGGTGGTAGGGATGGGGTTCCGGAGCCGGGGCGCGAGCCGGGGAAAGGGGGGGGGGGGGGTTCGCCGACGACGGTTCGGGAAAGGGGGGTGGGGGGTGGGGGTCGCCGACGACGGCTCGGGCAAGGGGGGGGGGGGGGGTCGCCGACGACGGCTCGGGCAAGGGGGGGGGGGGGGTTCCGACCCCCCCCCCCCCCTTTGGGTGATCCAGCGGCGCGCCCTCCAGCATTTGGCCCTTATCACGTTTGGAGAAGCTTCCGACACCATTCCGACCCCAACCGTTACGCAGTGGATGACCTCTGCTCCAATCGAACTGGTTACGGATGCCATCGTACTCGACTACCCCAATGATCAGGAGGACGCATTATGTGGGACATTGCTGAACCTCCAGATTACTGTCACGATCACCTGGAGCTGGCCCATGGACAGCCCAAGTCGCCACGACGATAGCCGAAGGATCATTTACGATTACATTCGCGACGAAGCTACAATCTCTTTTACCTCCCTGCACGCCACCCTGGTCATCCGCGATCTCCGGACGCGTCTGGGACACCTGCCAGGCATCGCATTCGGCCACACGCTGATGATGCAAGATCCCCGAGCGCTCGTGATCGAGCACAGCGAGCCGGAAGCCGTTGCAGCTGGGACCAGCTGATCCTACTCACTCCCCGCAGAGGGGTGCTCATCACATCCTCGTCGGCGACACCGTGGGAAAGGCTTCACACCATACAGGGTGAAGC